CTTTTAGATTATGCCTTCTCCATAAGTCCGGCCCAGAACAGATCGGGGATTCCGACGATCAACAACGAATAAGTTACGGTCATGCCAGCTCGTGATACGGGCAGTCGATCATCGATTAACTCCCTCACGGAAAGCAGCCCATTGAATTGAAATGCATGCGGAATATGTATTTCCCGGACTGCGATAGCTTTGGACGATCGTTGGTGTGGTCGTACGGAAACATCAGGCGTGAGAGAAGCTTTGTACACAAAATGTCAGGGACAACGCATGTGATACAAATTCAGGTAGACGCACCGGCTTGCCGCGCGACTTTGTGACAAGAACATCCATAGCTGCACAAAGGCTAGCTACCACAGAACAGTCCGTCGTTATATCTTGGACCAGGTCACTGTCGCCACTTGCGGCCATCAGTGCAGTGGTACCGTTGAATGGCTCATCGGTGTGGAAGAGAGAGCCGACGAGAGTGGCAGGTCGCTCCCAGCCTCCCAGAATATCGTTCTGCTGATGGGACATAGCATACTCGGTATGATCCCTACATGTCAAAGCGTTTGATCAGGACCTAAAACGTTAAATCATTGTTCTGGAGTACTGACGTGTATGGCGGATACCCTGCGGGAATTTCAAATACATCATCGCTTGGGTCGGACTGCCAAGGCGGAAAGAAACAGGCATGTAAGTAGGATGATTGCCGAAGAATGGTCTCCTCTTCTCCCGTGATCTTGCGGTACGTAGGCGGAGATGAAATGCCGCTGGGCTCTTTTGATTTGAGTTGCTCAGCCCACGTGATCATCTCTCGACATTTTCGCCGCAGGCGAAGACGGTCAGTCGCATTGGTTGCCTCGGCATAGGCTTTCATATAAAAATCTGCGGAAGCAATTGCGTGTTGCAGAGCCTGCTTAGTGTCGCGGTTGGCCTGCCGTGACAGTTGCTCCTCACTCTGTAGCCAGGTCAGCCTTTGAACGCCCGTCGCCTGCAAGAATGATATCCCAAATGATTGATCAAAGTTCAGCCTTACTGTTGCGAGATGCTCGGCATTGTTCATGACCTGATACCCTGTATACATGAGCTGGCGAAACAATAAACCAACTCATGAAAGGTACCGACCAACACACACGCCGGCAGGCACCAATTGTGTTTCAGCACAAGGATCAAGGCTGAATACCACTAGCTGAGGCGTCAGAAGCCTCTTGTCTAACAAGATATGGACTTAGAAGAGATCAAAGGGGTACATAAGAGCTCTGATCGAAGATGCGCTGGAGGTTTAACAGGTACTGAGAGCGGGCCCGATAGCATGATGAATCTGAATAGGCACCAACCCCTCTAAACGCCTCTCGATGCAGTCCCGTGCACAGTGGGGTGAACTTGACGTGACGAGTGGTGGAATGGTAATGCTTATACACCAACCAAGCACATTAGAGACATACTTTCAGTTGGTCGAAATGTCTCATTTGAGACATCGAATAAAGTGGACCACACGGTGCGTCGTCGTAGCCGAGGTCCCCCGCCCGAGCTACTATGGTGCCTTCTTGCCTTTGGCTCTGGCGGATGTGCAACCGGCATTTCACCCCCCTTATCAGCTACACAGCGAGTACCAGTGACGTGCGTGCGCTACGGGATCTGAGATCTATTAACCGAGCACGAGACGGCTCTTGAGGCCGAGGTCGACACCCGACACCCGACGTCGCCCTTTCCTGGAGTTAAAGCTGGTTTGCGCGCCTCTTGGATAACGGGTGTCTAGGTCGCAGACACTCTAGGTATACATTCTTTGATTTTTCATCGCATGCCATCTACATCACCCGACAGACATCGTTATCTATCCTCCGTTGCTTCAAACCGATCACAGGCGTGCAACGAACCGAGGTCGGCCAGCCAGTGCGAGCTACCTCAATTCGCGGGGATACCACCACGCCGTCCTAATTGGAACATATTGCGAACAGCTTCTCGGTACATTACTCACCACATAGCAGAACGACATGGCCGCGCAGTCGAAGCCCGTCAATCTTGCCCCATGGGGCCGCGCCGTCGCAGGCGCTTCAGGTGCTGTTCTGGCGAATGCTCTTGTCTACCCTCTCGACATGTAAGTTCTTGCACTACATCTATTAGGAGGGGCAGCTCTCTCTCTCCCTCTCTATCGCAGCTCTGCATGAATTGTGAAGTTGACTGGTTTGTGTCTCTGTAAGAGTCAAAACAAGACTACAAGTACAGGTTAAAGCACGGCCAACCAAGGAAACAGGAAATGTACCCGACGCCGCCGCCGGAGCCGCCGAGCCGCATTACAGTTCAACATGGGATGCCCTTTCAAAGATTGCTGCAGAAGATGGCATTCAAGGCCTGTACGCAGGCATGAGCGGGTCACTTCTTGGTGTGGGTTCCCCGAACTTTGCCTACTTCTACTGGTATTCCATCGTTCGAACATTCTATATCAAATCAGCCAAAACAACAGCTCCTCCTTCTACCATCACCGAACTTGCGCTGGGTGCGGTCGCTGGTGCTGTGGCCCAGCTTTGCACAATACCGGTTGCAGTGGTCACCACAAGACAGCAAACCCAACGCAAGGGCGAACGAAAGGGTTTCTGGGAGACAGGACGAGAAGTTGTCGAGGGCAGTGATGGCGTCTTCGGCCTGTGGAGGGGCCTCAAGGCTAGCTTGGTGTTGGTAGTGAACCCTGCCATCACCTATGGGGCTTATGAGAGGCTGAAAGAGGTCATATTCCCTGGGAAAAGCAGTCTTAAGCCGTGGGAAGCTTTCTGTAAGTGGCAAGCGTGAAGCGACGTGAACTATATCTGGCTAACGCCCGCAAGTGCTCGGAGCCATGTCTAAGTCGCTTGCAACATTGGCTACGCAACCTCTAATTGTTGCCAAGGTCGGGTTACAATCTCGTCCACCCCCGGAAAGACAGGGAAAGCCATTCAGCAGCTTCATTGAGGTGATGCAATTCATCCTGGAGCGAGAAGGGCCACTTGGTCTGTTCAAGGGCATTGCGCCTCAGATACTGAAGGGACTGCTCGTGCAGGGGATTCTCATGATGACCAAGGAACGGTAAGCGCCACTGACGAACCGTATTATTATGTGTGTATATGACTGACGATCTGAACCACAGCATGGAGTTGATGTTTGTCTTGTTTTTGCGTTATCTCAAGACAATGCGTGCAAAGCAACTCGAAAAGATCTCACAAAGCGGAGGGCTACTGCAACAGGTTTCGCAAGTCAAGCCTCTGGTTTCCCGATGAGCAAATGCCAGCATGCGCGAAGAATTGCGGATTGCGAGGATATTGGTTGTGAACACATACGTAGCTCTGTAAGATCTGTTCCATCAATTAAGCATTCCCCGGCGACTCGTCTGTGTGATGCACTTCACGTGCATGCGCCAAATTCCGTGTCCTCGTGGTCTTTTCGGTCTTGATTAGGTAGGCGTAATGAAATCAGATCCGCATTGACCTTAATTGAATGATGAATAGCCGCAACAGGGATCCGTACTAAAAGTGAGCCTGAGATGAAGGTGAGGCAACACACGTTGCGTGGGGTGCGATGGTGCGATGGTTAGGTACGTACGTAAATAGTGCCTTATGTCAGCTACTCCATTAATCCGAGCTGCGGCTTGATTCTCCGATGTAGGCGAGTGTGTATTAGGTAAGCGAATAATCTTAGGGCACGGAAATCTCTCCCCACAACCACCAGCAGAAGGCCATTCGATCTGTAATCGACCCTCGCAATTGACGCCCTTATCCTTCACCCGACACCATCTAAGCAGGAGTACAGTCGCAGCAATGGCCAGTATGTCAAGTCTGAACGAATCGTATCTTGTCTGTACCCTATTCTAACAACAACGTTAGAGTCCAAGAACTCCTCGCAGCACAACCAGTCGCGCAAGGGGACCGTAACGGGGAGGTTGGGGAACTATTTTCGACAATTTTGCAATGCGCAAACGGAGGTACTGACACCTTTCGTACCTACGAGGATCAAGGAAGGCCCAAGACAGCAGGGTACCCTTCGCTCAAGGGGAACTGACCCCTAAGGTTCGGTCGCACCCACCGCCATGCTTCTTTCACGGGCACCGCTAGGGCTCTTGGGTACGAGGCTCCCATCGGGACAGGAAATCCCATCCGTCCAACCAAAAAAAAACAGATCAATGCTAACATTTCCCCGACAGAAGGAGAAGAGGGAGGCTGACAAGGCCTGAAGCTCCCTGGATCGCGACGATGGAAATGGGGTTCTCTCTCACGAAATGATGGCGTACCGGCGGTTGGGGTCAAAATTATGAGACCACCAAGGCAGCGGCATGTGAAGCCCTGTCACCACAAGAATCCAAGACCGAGCCTTAACAGAGCACGGCCGTTTTCAGTCATCAAAGGACCGATTGTGTGAACTCGATCGACTGTGAATATCCCAGCTAAGTCTGGAGGCAGCCGATGCTCACGATTATGCGCGCCCTCCAGACAATCAATCTAGAACCTTGCATCCTCAATCATCAGTCATGAACTCCATCCGGTACTAAATGAATTGCAACGCTGGACAGGGCGTCATGTGGTCCAGCTACAGCACTGTTAGTGAACGAGCGGCATATGTTGGACGCAGTTTAAGCAGGTAACGCTTTGGTTACAAGGCATGTGTTCTTTTAGACCGCGGAGCTTCACGAGTTGGCTTCGGCGGCCTTGCCAGGGGGAAGGTTCAGCTTGTGATTGAATTGTGTATTATTGAACCTTGTCTCTCTGCATGCTGTGTAAACCCTCTTCGGAGCAAAGAGACAAAGCGGGCTCTGCTTCGCACGTAGGAGGTGGGTATGTCGGTATCCTGTTCGCCCCGGACTACCGTTGTGTCATCAAGCTGTCGGGCTTGCCAGGTATTCCCTACTATATTGCTGACGATGAGGGTTCGCGTCCAGGTCAGATGACCGGTTCAGTGGAGTCCACTTTGGTTCGTCTTTGAAGAGCCTCATTGCTTTTATGTACTGTACACACATGTTGAGCATGGAGCGACCAGGCATGAGGTGAGAGGGAGAGAGGGTCAAGTTTGGTCTGTGTGAGGCTGGGCTGTACTGCGGGCACGCGCGTGAACTTACATTCGTTTCATCTGTTGTGAACCGATGGTATATACCAGGCGGTAGGATAATCAAGTCATCCTGACGGAGGAGTTAGTTTGACCCAAGCATGCAACTTGCCAAGTAAGTAATCTGGTACCTTCTCCACGCGGATGCGCACCCATTCATCGTCACGACTGCGGACATCAAAGAATCCTTGCCCATCACGGACATACCTTATCTCCTCGTCCTCGTGAAGATGTTCGTTGAAAAAACTCTTCACTTTATCCTCATACACATCACCCATCTGCTCTGGAGAAACAATGATCTCGTCGCGGTTCTTGTAGCCTTTCTTTGCGGCTAGCTGGTTAACCCCTTCAATGTCTGATATATTGTGATAGTAGACGCCGAGTTGCTCTAGCCCCTCCTCGTCGACTGCGTTCCCAGAATCATGGGGAAGCCGCTGGTCGCCCTGATCGCGAAGTTGTTGTCAGTCGACCAATCTCACGAAAGACGTTGCTTGAAAGTCGGCTTACAGGCAGGTTATCAAACCAATAGGCTTTCATCGTTACAGGTTAGCGTCGACCCAAGATACGGTAGTAAATATGGGTGATAGGAATGCTGGGAGAAGGGCGTGAATGCTGATCAATTGTCACGATTGATGGTGGACGTTAGTTGTGTGAGCGCAACTTTTGTGGTGGGGTCGGCGCTTTATCTAAGTATGAAATGACGCAATCAGAGGTCAAGCTGGCTGTGGTGCTTTGTGCCTCCTTCAGGTATTAGCATCCACAGTTCGGATTGCTCCACATGTGCTCTTCAACGGCAGTTGGAGGCTATTGGGGTACGATACGACCGCAGCCGCCTCCGTAGGATATCGACTTTCTCACAACACTATCGCCATCGCTCTTCAACATGGGCTTTCCGGCTTTCTATTGTCAGGAGATTCTTAGGATTGCCAGAAAGTTGTCCATATCACGATAACATGAACGTCAGCAAGGCTACCTAGCGATTTTTTTTCAGGTAGTTCAACTAGCTCTTCACAAACCATTCATGCTGAAATCTGCATTGTAGTGGTATTGTTATCTACCAGGTCACCGGGCTGTAATCGGTCTCTCGGTCATAAGCTCCACTGCCGTCGCATGGAGCAGGGTGAAAGTATGCATTTTGCATCACCTCGCACAATTTTATTTTTCCCACTGGAGCTATCTTATGGCCCGTCAGACCTCTGTTCAGCCACTCGTTGGGGAAGTGAAACCGGTTCCTTTGATCAGGACACCATGATCGAAAGAACTTTTAGCACCGCGATCCTCTTATTCTTCCAGCGTTCACGCCTGTCTATCCATTCGCCCAGCCTGTCGTATTGACGCCGACGAGACGCTCATAGAACCTCTGCGGCAAGTTCAGGGGCACCCATGGCCAATATGTCGTTGTTTGTGCCGTCCACAGCTTCGTTGGCTGGTCTCCTCTCAAAGATTCGTCGCCACCAGCTAGGTGGGTCAAAAGGGCGTGAGCCATTGTGCAGGGGTGGGTAGACGTCAGTGAAGAAGTACCATATGTGCCCAATGACCACGCCCATAATCTCATCCTTTGGAACAGACCCATGGAGAACTAAGCTGAAAGCCATCAGTACCCACGGGAGATATGGCGCGGTGAATACTAGGAGCCCTAGAAAGCTCAACCTTGTGTCGGGATTACGTCGAGACCAGATGTAAACGAGTGTCGAAGACAGCGGATGTCCAAGGAATGGCATTGACACCAGGGGCGAGAGAAGAATAAGACTTGTCATGGCGTACATGAGCAACCAGGAGAAATGCGCGGGAGAGCGACCTGATGACTCTTCCAAGAGCCGGGCATAGCGCTGGAGAAAGTAGACGTGAAATAGAAGATCCAAGGAAAATGGCCCGAAGTATAGAAATGTCGTCAATAGTCGCCAGTACTGATTGCACGAACAGATGAATTAGCTTGATGACCAGTATCGATTGCTCAGGAAAATGACCCCACCTGCGATTTGACAAATACTGCGCGAAAACTGTAAAATAGTTGGAAAGGTGTTGCCATCTGACACTGCACGAGAGCACTGGTCAACAGTGTGGCAGTAGTCCACCACCTAGTGCATATCGGCATTTCCCAGAACCATGTTTCAAGTGGAAGTCTTCCACCATCTCCCATCATTTGGTCCATCTCTTATAATTTGTTCCGGCACTGCTGCAGCCCTGCGAGAATCAGCGGTCATTGCCCAGGCTGGCTTGCGATGATTGCACGATAGCTTCCCGCAGAGACGTGACAGTATATGGACGAAGGAACAATCGTATGGATCGCAGAAGGTTGAAATGCTGGAATGCACCCCAGAAACCAAGGTCTTCGTCGGTTGTGGCGCAATGAGACTGGGCATAGATCGGTGTAATGGTGAGGTGGCCGCTTCAGCATCCGGGAGGGCGCACCTGCAATGCTGCTTGGTGTTCCTGATAAAGCCAGGATCATGACGGAAGGTGACAGATAACACATTGGGCCCCGCCACAATTTGGCGCCATCAGGTCGCGCCTCGGGAGATGGGTAAGGATACTTGACTTGCACGTACTTGCATATCACTTGAACCGCATGGTTCAGGACATGCATGCAATTATGGGACATTACTGCCCCGGAACCCTTAGTTAGGGGACGCGCTCAGATTATATGTCCATGCGCGGCAACACGCGCCGCGTTGTTCTACTTCATGTTCCTCATCGAAAATCCGCGTGGCTGGTACCCAGCCCACACATATGGCCCAGCGCGCTAATTGTACTTCGAGGGCCTCAGGAATTCTTTAGACGAGTTGATAACATCCACAGATCCTCTACCCCCCATTCAGACTGTTATTTGCTGTCACCACTTGAAGCGAAGAGTACCATCCGAAGCTGCAATCATTACTTTACCACGAACGGCGTGCCAGACAGATCCGTCTCAGATACGCGCTCCGAACAGGCTTGCCTCTGGCTGGAACGGACCTGTGTCGCGTCGCGTCTTGTCGCGCCTCGGCATCGCAACGATACAATCCTCACCACCACCACCCCCCCCCCCATCCCAGAAAGAAAAAGAAGAAAAGCATCTCGCCTGGCCGGAACGAAATCTGTAGCAATTAACTGCGTACGACATCACTATCTTTTTCTCTTTCACGCTTCGACCTCCCCGAAAACTCGCCTGCATTCCCGGCGAGACATCAGCACTTTTCTAGAACCATGCCACCACGCTCAGGTACCAGCAGGAAGTCCGACGCCAGTACGCGAAAGTCTCGGACCCAGCGATGTGCACGTCAGTGGGACCGATTTCATGAGGTGGTTCGCCTCCAGCTAATCTACTGGATTCAGCTGGCGACCTTGTTCCGCAACGTGCGAAACGAGAATTCGTCTGTAGGTAGCGCTCCCGCGAAATTCGGAAGTATCAAAGTAGCACCGATTTGTTATTGCGAAAGCCTTCCATTTGCCCGACTGGTGGGTACATTCTGGCACATGGGGACATGATACACTTATGCTGATCGCATTGACAGGTCAGAGAGATCGCGATGTCGTGTCGACCACGTGATGAGGAGATGCGCTGGCAGTCGCAAGCAATTTTGGCACTCCAGGAGGCTGCGGAGGCTTTCATGGTGCATCTCTTTGAAGACACCAATCTCTGTGCAATACATGCCAAACGAGTAACCATCATGCAAAAGGACATACAGTTGGCACGAAGGATACGAGGAGCATGAGCTTGCTTGGGGTGAGGTGATATGACGGATCCTGGGTTGTGGGCTGAGGAGAGGAATCTGATGAGAAGGGAACGCTATGTTCTCATTTACATATACCCTGGGTTTGTTCCGTGGGAGGCGACATTGCAAGTGCCAGCGAGAGAACGACTGGCCTGGGAACGTTCAGTTCGGTCATTGTCCTTGAGTGTCCCCCTTCCTACTAGGCGTTCCGGAGAGTAAGGTCAGGTCTGTAGCTAGGGCAAGGTATTACTACCTAATTTCATTTACAAGGTCGATGTTCGTTTTCCTAGTGCAACGATGAAATCAACTGACACAGGTGAAGCTAGCGGAGAACAGGTATGTAAGTGGTGACTGCTCATGTTGCGACAGGGTGATCTAGCGCGGTTTCATTTTTTGGGGTGCCGTACCCGTAACTTGACTAGCGCTTGGCCAACCGTACTACGTCACCATAGGTCTCATTCCACAGTCAACGAGTACATGATAAAAGGTGCTGGCACTACCTCCACACTGGCACCCATTTTGTAGTATCAACCAAATCTGCCTCTCAAACCGTCACACAGACCGGCTTCTTTAATCATGCACCGCTTTCCCGTCACGCCCTTCAGGTGGCGCCTACCACTACAAGCTGGCACAGGCTTGGGCTTAGCCTATACTCTGCAATGTCGACGTGCATTCAGGCTCGATTCACAGAACAAGCTTGCGACTAGTTCGAGCAATAAGCGGACACCGCTTTCACATTCGACTCGGGGAACACTGAATGCCGACTTCGTGAGGGATTGTTCCCGGGGTAGCATGGCAGGTATGAGCTGAAGTGGCATCGAACAGAGCGTGGCAGGAATTGGCATGGAAGGCGATCTAACTTGGGCAGGTTTCGGCGCCGGTCTGGTCTTAGGATTCTTTTCCCAGGCTATAGTCTTCATATCTGGCCTAGCCATGCTCACATTGCACGTAAGTTTATCGTGGGAGAGGAAGAGAATCCCGATGTCATGCACTCGATTAAAACAAAGCACTGTAGGTCGTACACCGATGGGGGGTTGATATCCCCGAGCTGCTCGGGCTGAGGCAGCGGCTGAGCCGGGCCATACTAAATCAACCGTTCAACAATGCAGTATTCCGGTTGTCATTCGCTGCTACATTTACACTAGCGGCGTTTGCGCGGTTCTGATGGGAATGCTCCACGGTGCTTTAGTAAGCTATACACAGTTTGCCAATTTCAAATGGGCTGTGTTTCTCTAGTCAGCCATGCAAGGGTTAAGGCGTCGTCTTTGAAAGCATCCTTTGTCTTGTTGAAAATGTCCGTGTTATGGGCATTAAGCCACTCTTTCTCTGCCGTGGTCAAAATGCTGATGTCGATAAGGTTCTTGCAGTAAGGAGCCATCGTGACGTGTTCGAATCCGAGGTAAGGCTTGTCACCGAAGGAGTGCTGGGTCTGGACCTCCCTGACGATAGCGAGGTTCTCGATACGGATGCCGAATGCACCGTCTTCGTAGAAACCTGGTTCGATGGAGACAACGTTTCCAGAAGCGAGTGATACCTCTGCGAACTGAACCCTGGTACCGATTCCAATTGGACCCTCGTGCACATTCAGGTACGACCCAACACCGTGCCCAGTTCCGTGCCTGTAGTCTAGACCTTCCCGCTGAGAAAAGAGTACTTGTCAGCACAATTTTCTTCATGTCGAGGTTGAAGCTTACCCATAAGTGCTGCCGCGCCAGGCAGTCCAGTGCAAACCCTGTCGTCCCCTTTGGGAATATTGCGCTATCCAGTGCAATGTTACCCTTCAGTACAAGCGTATAAGCCAGCTTCTCGGCTGCTGTAGGACAGCCGAAGTGAACAGTACGAGTCACATCGGTTGTCCCATCGAGATACTGAGCCCCCGAGTCGCAGAGGTAGATTGCTTCAGGGTCGATGGCTGGGCATGAGCCACGCTCGGGTTTGTAGTGAATTACAGCAGCGCTTTTGTAAAGAGTCAGTATAAACCACAATGAATACCTAAAACGGGGCGCAGAACGCAGGTTGGGAAACGTACTTGGCGCCTGTGGATGAGATGGTGTCAAATGACAATCCGACATAGTTCTCTTGCTTCTGCCGGAGCTCTTCGAGTTTGTCTGCCGCCTCCACCTCATCCAGCACGATTCTCTTGGCCACCAACTGGTCTTCGAGCCAGGCGAAGTATTCAATGAGCGCAATGCCATCTCTGATGTGGCAAGCCCTCATGCCTGCCAATTCAGCTTCGTTTTTCACGGCCTTTGCATCTCCGATGAAACTGCGCACCTCCTCAACGAGGTCATCGCCGCCAAGTGCCCGCTTTAAAGCCCAGGACGCCTTGCTCGAGAGAAGAGTTCGCTTTTCTCTACCCTGCACACCTTTCGAGGACGTCAAGGCTTTGACATCATCGAAAATACAAGAATAGGGCTTGGTTACAATACCATTCTTTCTCAGGTATTCAAGGCTGTCGGGATGGAGTTTGGTGTCGTCAACAAATAGTGTGGCAGTGTCGAGAGTAATGACAGCGTAAGAGAAGAAGACGGGATTGTAGGGAATGTCGCTGCCGCGCAGGTTCAAGAGCCAGGCAACCTCGTCCAGCATAGACACTACCATGCCGAGTGAATCCTTCTTCACAAGTTCTTGACGCAAGTCTCTCAGCTTTGTCTCAACGTTCTTCCCCGAGAACGCCGTGTCTAGGATCACCACAGGATTCCTCGGGCGGTCAGGGCGATCCTTTCCCCAGACTACGTCAACAAGGTTGCGTTCTAGGGCAACCAGCTCACTGCCACCAAACTTATGGATCTTTGCTGCCAGCTTCTTGGCTGCGGCTGCGGCAATGAGTTCTGGATCCACAGCAACTATTTTCCCGCCGGCGGATTGTTCTGCGGACCAATCTTGCCATGTAGGGACATCCTGGAGACCCTGCTTGAGCAACAGCCAGTTGTGGTCAAGCTGCTTCGAGGCTTGGTTGAAATATCTGCCATCAGTAGCAAGAGCGGCCTTGTCAAGTGTAATCACTGCACAGCCGGCAGAGCCGCTAAAGCCGCTGATGAACTCCCGTCGCGCATCACAAGCCGCTATGTACTCCGAAGAATGGCTATCTTCCGAGGGAACCACTAAGATATTCACGTTATACCATGCGCCAAGGACGAGGGATCGGACCGGCCAAGACTTACCATACACGTCGATTGAATGAGCTCTCATAAGCTCCCTCAGTTTCGAGAGACGACCAGACGTATCGACTTTCTCCATGATCGGCACTGAGGTCAGGGATCGAGAATGGCGTTTGAGGGTTTCGTGAGTAAATATTGGAATTGGAAAGGAGGAACACTGTGAAGTGGCGAGAGCAGTCCCAGAAACCAAGATGAGTGAGCCACGAGATGCCCGGCGCAGCGAATAGCTCTGCAAAGTCTTCCCTAACATGCGATAGTGATAGATGAATTGCCCCCTGTCAAGAGGGAATCCAGACTCAGTGATACTGGGTTGTTCGCAGATACTGAGATGATCTTGTCTTGTGAGGGGGTACAGACTGCGCACCGCTAATTACCTAAGGCACCTACCTAGGTAGGTTAGGTAGATTGCCCGTGGGTTCGGATCATTCCAGGCAACAAACGCCTTCATGCATACACGCGTTCAGAGATATACCCACAAAGTCAATGAACCCTTTGGCATCCACTATGGGACAAATCTCGACCCACTGACCTGCTTCAGCTGCCGCCTCCCAGACAGACAGTAAGGTGCCCAATGTATCCAAACCTCTTCGCTCGACGTTGTACTGTATTCCCCCGACACACGGACGGAAGCAGAAATCTGAGGAGGCAAGACAAGATAGACTAAGCCCCAAGATCTACGTCCTCCCATCGAACCCCCGCCGTGAGCAGGAGGGCACTCATGCACATACAAAGCTAGCCTGATCCCCGCCGCTGAAATCACGTTTGCTTTGCTAGACAGCCAGTGTGCACCGACTATCGTCTCGAATTTGCAGCCAGACCCTTACTTTACATTATTTGATCACGGTAGTGAGCGATAGGCCCGACCTTAAGCTTGCATTTTTGCTCTCGGCTCATCCGTCACCTACCGAATGGCGGAAGGGAAGAGTGGCCGTACCCTACTACTCCGTGCTTCGGAGATCATTGGCTTAATCACTGACGTTTGCGATCATCGCCATGGGAGAGTCATTATCACCATCCCTACAGGATGTCGAGGCAGTGAGTACGCGAGGCAGCTACTTTTGCACACATGCGATCCAGGTCGACGATCTAATACAACATCTAGCTTGTTTTCGCTCTGTATGAGCCGTCCGGTTCCCACAACGTAGGTCATATACAAGAACAACTTCATCGGCTGCAGAAATCATCAGCAGGCTGGCGAATCGCACGCGATCTTCTTGGACATGCAGACGACAAGATCAAGTTCTTCGGGGCCTTGACCATCATGGTCAAACTCAACACTGAGAGGTGCGTGTCCTCGACGACGGTCTGCGAGCAACAATGATTCCGAAAAACCGCACTAACGCTCTCATAGTGCAAGTCTCTCCGATGTTGATGCATTAGAGCTCCTTCAAAATATGATACGGTGGCTGCATGCGTCACTGACAGATGGGTCAGGGACAATGGTTGTGAGGAAGCTAACATCCGCCCTGGTGGCGTTCTTCATACACTTTCCCAACCTTTGGCCCGACTGCATACGATCATTGTGTGTTTCAATGTCTTCATCGTCACCTTGGCCGGTAGAAATCACTGCTGTACCTCCCGAGATATCGACGATCCTCTGGGACGTCGACTCACGAAAGCTGCAAACCGTTCTCTGGTTCGCTGGGTCGTTGGTTGAAGAAGCAGGTAAAATTGACGCCAACGCTAGCAAACAGTGAGTTCCAAAAACGCACGCAAAGTGCGAATCAAACTGACCCACTGGTTGTCATACGTAGCTTGGGCATATACGAAGCCATTGCCAGCAATATTTCCGATGTTGTTGCACTCATGAGCCACTGTTTTTCAGCTGGGTTCTCACAAACCAGCGAGGACCGCAGTCTCCAAGGAGACTGCATTAAGACCTTACAGGTATGCCGAATGGAAACATCTTTCTTAGCTACGTCTGTGATTTATGGTATCAGCAATTCGCGGTACCGCAACTTGCTCTGTTTTATGCAATCGCGTCACGATGCTGACTTCGATGTCATCATAGTCTTGGATTCTCTTTTCTCAGCGGCTAGCTGCGCGAGGTGACGAGACGATTCCGTTGCTTCGTTCTTTGATCCCCCCCGTCCTGTCAGCCCTATCGATTGCCGATCTATTCGAAGCCGCCGCTGAGCTTCTCTCCGATACCCTATTGAACTACTCTGGATTCCTTCTTGAGGCCCACTACGAGGCCCTCTTCTCGCTTCTCCTAGAAGACTCAGCGCGAGGTCGCTACCAGCGACTCGTTGATGGAGACTTCGACTTTGAGTCTGTCCAGTTTGGGCAGTTGATGCTAGCCTTGGGCGACTCCAAGGTCCAACTGCTTATTGAGAACACAGGCGACCGTAGCCAAGACTTTCTCACGAGGCTTCGTGGGCTGCTCCACGCGCAGGGCTATCCAATCAGCGACGATAGGATATTTGTTCCTGCACTGGAGTTTTGGTCTACCTTTGTAGAGACTCTTGTCGATTGCATGTGCTCCGATGATCATCAGGCTCAGCCCTGGGTGTCTGCGGCATCGTCACATGTTGTGGAGCTTGTCTCAGGCATCTGGCGCAAGGTGATCTTCCCGCCTGCACAGGACTTTGCGGAGTGGGACTCATCCGACCGCATAGCTTTTGTTGATGCGAGGAAAGATGTCGCAGATCTCTTACAGTCATCGTTTACTATCATAGGGTCTCGTCTTGTGTCTTCTTTTGCGGACTTGGTGCTTTCAAGCCTGGCATCTGGACATTGGTTGGAACTGGAAGCGGCAGCTTACTGCCTCGGGGCACTCGCAGACTGCGTGGCTGGTGACATATGTGATGAATCGTTACATACGGTTTTTTCATCGCCACTTTTCCACACACTCCAGCAAACAGATAGCAGGCTGCCACCCCGCACGCGTCAGACCTGCATATTGCTTCTTGAACGATACGCAGAATTCTTCGAGCGTGAGACCGCGAGCCTACCAGCTGCCCTGACGCTCCTGTTCTCTGTCTTGCCAGACGCTGCGCTTGCCGGGCCTGCTGCCAAGTCCATCCAACGCCTCTGCTCTTCGTCGCAGCAAAGTCTGGCCAGTGAATCAGGTGCTTTCCTGGATCAGTACAGCATGTTATCGACACGCCAGCAGATTGACTGTGCCGCAAGCGAAAGGGTTCTCGGCGCCGTTGCTTCTGTTGTCTATGCCATACCAGATGATCAAGAACGACTCCGCTACCTCGATACCCTGTTGAGCTTCGTACGGCAAGATGTCAGCGACAGTTTGCGGGCCACATCGTCGCCTGGATTCGAGCACTCTCACCGGTGCCTTGTGGAACACGACGTTTCGAATGTCGCGGAGCACCTAGCGCTCAAATCCTTGAGGTGCCTCGTCAGTATCGGGAAGGGCTTCAAAGCACCTGTAGAGGCCCCTATTGATATTGAAACAGATAGACTGCAAGTCCATGCTTATGCTGGCCATCGGGAATTATTACTGGAGATTCAGTCTGGTATCATTACTATGATCCAGCGACTGCAGCAATCGTTTCCTGACAATGCCGAAGTTGTCGAGACTATCTGTACCATTTTCAGGACAGGCTTTTCGGAATCGGAGGCTGGACCGTTCGTGTTCCCACCAGATGTCGTAGCTAATTACCTGCTTCAACAAGGTCCACCGACACCTCGACTGGGCCTTTTCGTGAGCGCGGCTTGCTCGTTCATTAGTTCACTTGGCAAGTCGCCCGATGGCGGACTCGATCTTATTCGCTCCAATCTGTTTTCTTGGGTTACGAGACTCTTACAACAGCTTCCAGGTGAGCTTCCAGCTGCATCGCACCAATTTCCGAACCTCATCAGTACCATCTTGCTGACCAGTCACAGAACCTGACAGCGATACCGAACTAGCTCAGAGTGCGATTGAATTCGTGACAAGACTAACTACAAAGTGCCCTGCAGTCTTCCTTGATCCCGGGCTCTCGGGCTCGGCGGAGTTCTTCTACCTCTTTGCACTCCGAGTCCTTGATGGCAGGGAGCCTTTGCCCAAGGCTGCCGCTGCTGACTTTTGGGTACGTAACGATGGCGATTATCGAGACTTGATGAAGCTTCAATACTAAGACACAAGTCAGGCGTCTTTTTTTTCACTAAGAAACGAAAATGACTTCGTACAGAGAGCTGCTGAAACAGCGACTGGACAACTCGGCCCTCTCCTAGCTCGGTCGCTCATCAAGAATATTGGCGGAGGGGGTGCCAGAAGTGAGCTCGATAAATTGAGCGAGCCCCTCAAGAAAATGATAAGCCAGCACTCTAAATCGCGCTCATGGCTTGGGGATGCCTTGCGAGATGAGCACTGTGTAGGCTACCAAGTGACACAGCAGGATCGAGAGGCGTTTCTGAAGAAAGTAATCAGGTACGTGCTGGTCACTGTGATATACCACGCCTTGCATTGCAAGCTAACAACGATTTTGACCAGCCTCCGAGGCTCAAGGGCGACAAACCAAGTAGTGCGTGAGTTCTGGCTTGCTGCCAGGGGTTCCAAGTTCGCCTACGCGTCGTAAAGTCAGATCAAACAGAACGGAGGTCCGGTCATCGTCTGATCACATCCATTTTGGTACAGGGTCGAAGAGTCACTGAATTGTGATCAGTCCCGCGACGACGGATCCGAATCCATTGCTATTTGTCGTTGTGCATTCTTACAGTGTTGATACAGCTATCTCGGTGATGGTATTTGCAAGTTGATGTAGCAGTTGAGTGTGATGTGTACCGTGCACTCAGCATGACCTTCAGAGACCAGTGGCGTCTCTTACAATAGCCATTGTCTCTGCCGCATTTTCCCTAGCTTTCCGCGCACCTTCCGCCTCCACAAAGTCGAGGTATTTACCTTCATCGGCCGAAAGGAGGTCAATGTATCGCTCTCTGATGCCCTTGAGACCCAGCACCACGCTCTCTGAGACCTTTTCCTTTAGTTTTTTAAGGTTATACCCTGAAAGGCTGTCGGCCAGTTGCGCGGGTTCTCTACCGCTTTCATCAAAGATGGACAGTATCTCCAAGAGATTTGATACTCCAGGTCTGTTGACTGGGTCGTAAGAGACCGAGTTATCGCAGTCTGTTAAGGCCGACATGAGTTTCTGGTTGATCTCATCAGGACTGTCCGTGATCAAGATCCGAGACCTTGCGTCAGTCGACGATTTGGACATCTTCTTGTGAGGTTGCTGAAGGGACATGACGCGACGTGCCCTTGCTGTGACTCGGTTAGTTTGAAGATACTTTTACAAACTCGTCGGCTTGCGGCATCTTACAAGTCAACGTTTGGGGGACAATGAGGTGTTGTCCGTAGGCATTGTTGAAAACATTGGCACACTCGCGGGCAAACTCAAGATGCTGCCGCTGGTCGTCTCCTACAGGGACATGGGTGGCTCTGTGTACCAGCACGTCGGCTGCCTGTAGGACAGGATAGGAAAAGAGGCCCAGTTTTAGAGCCGCCTTAACTCCGTCATCTTGAAGCGAGGTGTCCGCTGTGAGCGACAGCTTACTCTATTCCGCTCTTTGTCAGACGAGATCTGCAGATAGAGCAAATCGGAACGTACCTTCCACTGCGTCATCCGCGAGAGTGAGCCCATTGACGCTGTGCAGCTCAAGATCCACATGAGCTCGGAGTGTGCGGCAACCTATGATATGAAAAGTCAGCCATGAAAGGCCTCTCATGTGCGTGACTGGGCATTCGACTTACGGACGATTGATTGAAAAGAACAGATCGCTGTGGGTCAAGCCCCGCGGCTATCAAGGCGGCCATCGTCTCGCGTTTACTACGCCGAAGCTGATGTGCCTGTTGGGGTACTGTGATGGCGTGAAGGTCGACAACACTGAAAAACCGTTTGCATGCTTCCGAAGGCTCGTTCTGTAACTTAATCCACTGGCGAATGGCGCCAGCAAAATTACCGAGGTGCGGTGTGCCTGTGGGTTGAATTCCGGAGAAAATGACACGAGCTGGACGCTGGACGCCTGTAGTATACACTGCCCGATGACAGACCGTAGACGATGGTCGTAAGCGTAATCGCGTCGGCGTGGCCCACAAGAAGCGGCCCATGACGCTGGTGGTTGGATGTCAGCAAGGAATGTCTACAGCTGTGCCAGCGATTCCAAAGTCAACTTTGACTGCGTGGGCCAATGTGTTAGCCTGAAGGGAAAAGCTAGCTACAATACAAACACACCAAACTTCTATCACGACACAATATTCTAAGGTACCTATGTAACTCACCTGACGAGTACCACAAGTCAAACTCTTTATTGGGATGAGGCTCTTTTATTAGAATGCCTTTTCGGGAGAAACTCCACGCTTACATAATGAATTTAATATTGATAATACGATCATCCGAGTGAATTTTATAGATCAAACGAATTTGTATGTAAAACCTAGAAATATTGGCTGCCCCGTGATCAGACAAGCTTCTCTTGGTCTTTGTCCAGCTCCGAACCCCAGAAACTAAGTTGGTTGACCTCCCTCAGGTCGCAATCTATCGAGTATGATGTTTTCGTTGCGGACTAAGCCTCTCGGTTCCTCACAATATGCCCGGACACCCTGGCGTCGCCGCATTGGCTGCATGAGCGACTCGATGGGTCTGGCAGGAGACGTTGACGTCGCTTGGCAGCTTCGTATTCCCTCTATTCTAACACAATTTGATGTACATGCAGGATATCAGAGAGGTGCAAGCCCGTTGCCGTCCCTCTGCGATATAGTCACTGCTTAATCCTGCCTTGTAGCTGTGAATTTCCGACTAGCGAGTATCTCCTCCACCTTTTTCATTGTTCCCATTGTCTTATGCTGCGCAAGATGTTCCCATTTCGAACCAATGCTCTGCGACACACCATCAGTGACTTCGGCCATTGACTTTCCATGACCTAGAATCATGCTTAGCCTTTGAGCAGAGGATAGCTTGTGGTGGCGAAGGCACTTACCCGTTGGGCTAAACTCCCAAACATTGGCCTTCATGCCAATTCCGTAGTAAGCATGCTTCTGCAGAAAGGCCAGCCAGAGCTGTACGGATTCCGGGTTTCCATCCCGGATCTGGATCAAGCGCCGAAGCGTTATCCTCTCAAAATTCTCCTGCGACTTCTTGAAGATGAAACTACTCCTCGGGACAGTCCAACGTTCCGTTATACGAGGCAGCGGAACGGGGCCGAAGGCAGGCAAATCAAGGTAGTACGCCGCTCGCAAGGCGAAGTCGCAAAAAAACTCGAGGTTACGAATGCTGTAAGATCGTAGTTGCAGGTCGCATGATGGGATACCGAAATGGGCTTCGCGGCGTAGAGGCTTCAAGTACAAGGCTTGAACGCTCCTCGGAAATCGTACGTTTCCATCTGATTTTCTGGTATCAGTCGTTTCCAAGGACGATTGATATACAACGGGTGTGGTTTCGCGCGGTGTCTGCAAGCTCATTTGTCGAATATGGGGAGTGTTGCGAGTGGCGATCTGTGACCCAAAGAAAGATGGCAGTATCAGCCCCAAACACAATATCAAAGCCATGCTAGAGTGACTGCGAACTTACAAAACGACGGGAGAGGCCTGTCACCGACCGTAGCAAGTTTGAGTGGCTCATGGTCGCGCGGAGTCTGCGTGTCACGGCGAAACAACAAGGTCCAAAATTCGACTTCGCCAGCGTAATGAATGGTCGGTTCTCTTGCAGATGGTCCCGTCGAATGATTAGCTAATCATGGATACTGCTGGGGTTTTGCGACTCCCGGACATCTGCCTATATGAAGTTGCTGCCAATATGAATCTAGGCCCTAGTAGTTGTGGTCCAGGGCCAACACTTTAGGATAGTGGTTTTGTAACGGCATCCAAATGTGTTATTTGACCAGGAGGTTCAAGCGCGTCCTCCAAGCTACAAAGGTCCTCCATGTGTGTGAGCTTCTCACATGGGTTGCCTCGCCCAGCACACACCATGATCGCATGGTGGCTCGCAGGGGCCCAGAGAAGGAATGGCCTACATGCATAATCAACATCATACAGAAAGAACTTGAATGAAACTTTGATTCATGAAGCAATTGGGTATCTTAGTTGCGCCGGCGTCTTTGTGAGACGAATCTTTTATAGGAAGCCTTTTTCCCACTAGCCTTGCGGCCCTGTATATCATTAAACTTGGCCTTGAACTTCCCGGAAGCTTTTTCGGCAGCCAGTAACTCATCAACCAGGGTCATCTTCCTCTCTTTCCTGTTCAACCGAGAACTGTAAAAATCAGTTGGACCCTCTACTATGCGCCCGACATGCGCGTAGCGTGGCATCTTGGCTTTCAGCGATTCCTTCTTATAATGCCGTGAGGGGTCCAATGCTGTTCCGCGCATCTGCAGAAGTTGCACGTCTCTCTTGAATTCCTTATCATTCGGATCAGTCTTCGGGAGGCCGAACCACCCTTGGCCAGCGTCGTCCAACTTATTCTGTGAGCGGTTGTTAGTCCGAATCCAAAGAGTATGTGCGAGTTTGCGGATATAAAAAGACTATTGGTATCAGAGTAACTATGAAAAATGTAAAGATCATAAGGGCGTGGCAGAGTAATCCAAGACGGACAAACTGCCACATCAATGGTGTAAAGCATGGGTAGCTTGTCATCACACAAAAATAAATCGCGAAGCAGAAGATAAGGTTGGTAACATACCTTGGGGTTTGTCTGGTGGGCATCTCGGACCGCTAACCTCTGTTGAGGAGGCCGTGCGATGCCACCTTTTGCGCCCACAACGAGAGACGGGCTGTCAAGCTTCAGAGTGGGCTGTCCAACATCGGTCGTGATATCGTGATACGGCGTCGCTGCCAAGCGATCCTCAGCTTCAGTCAATAGCCGATGAATGCGCTCGTCCGAGAGCTCTGCCATAGCGTATAACAGCAAGCGTTTGGCTTACAGCAAGATGGAAACGGAAATTAAGCCACGACGAGATCGAAGCTTGGTGGAAGGAGAGAATGAAAAGTGTGTCAGATGCAAAAATGAAAAAGATTCGACGAAGATCTTGGACATGGGCAAGTGGGACCACATAACGCGGTTCTAATGCAAAATAACGCTAGCTTTATATGGCACACGCAACATGGATAAGTCAGCCGGTATGGGCCATACAGTGCGTGTAAACCACTGGTGCCTCATGGCGTGCTGTGTTGTCCCTGGGTCCTAGGTAGTTGCGCACTGTAAATTGCATTGGTGTTAGAGGGGAGTTGGGCATCCACTCCCAGCCACCACCATCATCCTGTCCAACGTCGTCTGTAGCTTCATCTCCAAAACAGATCCAAGCGAAGTGCGTTCTGTTCGACAAGTTAAACGGAACCAAGGAACCCTGAATTGCAAGGATAGGCCATCATACTGCCGCAACCGCTCGTCGGAAAAGGTATTGTTAACACGACTACCCCGCTTCTGGCATGCTGGCTACACTAAGCCTAACCTCAATCTCGCGACTGACGCGCTCTAGTGACGACTGGAAAATATCCACCTCCAGCCGCATCCATCATTTCTGAGGCCTCGATATCTCGCTTTCCCCAAAAACATTGAGAACAGAGAAATCTATCGAATTACCTGCTTGCTACGCGCCAACGTTGTTGTACTCGTAATCCGAAAGTACAAGATGGACCCACAGAACCAACAAGGTCGCCCGCAGCAACCTGTTTACGACACCAGTCATGGCGGTCACTACGGTAAAGCCCCCTCTGACGCTGCCGCAACGTCCTGCCTATCCTCCTTCTTCCACAGATCGCTGACCTACTGGTACTTTTCAGGAGCCAGCGCTACGGTACGCCCACCTTCATTACCCTGTAGAGTGTTATTCTCACAATCATTTAGCTCTCAGCTCAAGGATTTGCACCTGCCGAGCTGTACACGGGTCCTTGGGCCAATGTAGGTGAAGAGTCTCCAATGCTGCCGATGAACGAGCTAACACAGTACTCCGTCGTCTAGGTTCATCAAGGTCTGACAGGCCAATATAAGGATATATTGACTACATACTGGCAACAAACGATCAATCACCTTGAAAGTGACACTCATGACTACAAGCTCCATCAGCTACCCTTGGCCCGGATCAAGAAGGTGATGAAGGCTGATCCCGATGTGAAGATGATCTCAGCGGAGGCTCCAATTCTGTTCGCCAAGGGCTGCGACATTTTCATCACCGAGCTGACCATGCGAGCATGGATTCATGCGGAAGAAAACAAGCGTCGGACGTTGCAGAGGTCTGATATTGCGTCTGCTCTTGCCAAGTCGGATATGTTTGACTTTCTCATCGATATCGTTCCAAGGGAGGAGGCTTCTGCGCAGGCCAAACGAACCGCAGGTCAAAATGCGGCTGCACAACAGGGCGTGCATCAAGCACCACCGGCTCAGCTCCCTGGCCAGCATGTACCCCAGGCTCCAAACCATGCCTCGTCTTCGCACCAAATGGCCCCTTCGGACTATGGCCTCGGAGCTCATGCGATCGCTCCCGAGCAAGATTTTAGGCAGCCACCGAACATGTACCCCGGTTCGGTTCAGGCCAACCCATCAGCCCCCTACGGCCAGGCTCAACCACCCATGTACGGTGAGATTGAGGGCATGTACGGCTATGGAACTATGCAAGCCCAACAGGTAAGTCAATCGGAGGCTACCCTGCCGCTGATTCGATTCAACTCGCAACAAGTGACTAATTAGAGTCATAGGCACCCATGTCATCGGAGGAGTTCGAATGAGCCAGGTCGGCCACAAACATGATACGTATGTTGAATAGCGTGGGGCCGGCTTATATTGCAGGCCTCGCCATCACAAGGTTTATGAAATGACTGTCGAAAGCAAGGTTTGTCGTACGTGGCGTCCGGCGTTGAGACTTTCAGCGCCTGGGCAGTCCTCTGCCTTCAGCCGTGAAGGGCTCGGTTTCTTTTCTTTCCTCCTTCGTTGTATTTCGGAGTGTCCCAATGTTAACCCCTCTGCTGGACTTATTTCATCATGCCAAAACGAGAGGAGAAGTTGGACAGGGGAGCGGTGCGCGTTAGTGGCGCTGCCTGTGTTGTGAGTCTATACTTTGGTCAGCTTGATGTGCCATCGTAATTTGCCTGGCGTCCAAATCAACATACTTCTCTAAAAGCATAGGACCGTTCAGGGCGTCCACTCTTCCGAATTTCTTGTTGCGGATAGAGATATCGAAGAACTCGTCGTGGTTGTCCGATTGCAGCAGGTTGACAGTCTGCTGAAGCTCATCTAAATTTTCACGAAGCATAGCTCCATTTTCAAGGCTGTCCACAAACTCTGTGAGATAATGCACGTCGATGGCTAATGCCGAGACGGCATGGGTGTTGATGTGTTTGACCTCCGAAGAGAGCGGGAGAGCCTTGTGGCAAAGGGTTAGTTGAGAAATTACCAATAGCACTATTGTTATGGTCTTGTGTGCTTACCAAAATTTTGTTCGCGGCGTGACTCAGTGCATCAAAATAGATGAGTTCCTTGATCTCCCGTGGGAGGCCAAGGAGAGTTGAGTTCATTATGTTGGAAAGGTAGCGTATTAATGTTTGCATGTAATTGCTTGGGTCTGTTGGCGCCGTGGAGGTCATCCTGTTCGCGAAGTTTCGTCAGATTCAGACCAGCAAATCGACAGAAGATTGAAGAGAGATTTGCGAACCAGTCGTATTCGGCCGTATCGACCAAATCGTCGATCTTGGAGTTAACGAGTTCAAATATGCGCTTCTCCGCCGTCTTCTTGTTGTTCCGAAACTGCTCGGTCGCACCCAGCGTCACAGGACCTCCCGCAGAGGTTGATGACCGCGCTCGTATCAGGAGCTGTTCCAATTCTTGGCAAGCAGCCTCAAAATGTTCCAGGTTGATAAGAATTTGGACGATCTGGCCAAGATACTGAGAGCTCAGACGCTCTACCAAGGATTTGCAGACCTTATCGGTCAATAACTCGTCTAGAGACTGCAAATGATGTCAGCAAATCACTAATTTCAAGTGGAGAGGCCAACGTGCTTTTCTGAGGGTCTCGTCAATAATGTTGGAGTGCTGGAAGTGGTCATCCGAGAAGAAGTAGAATTGGTTCAAAAAGTTTCTAATGTCAATGCAGCACAGCGGATACATCTGGGAGAAGGGAAGCACACAGGGGAAACTGGTGTAACAGATCAGTCAGTACAACTAACGATGCCCGTGACTCCCGGCTTAGTTTGCAGATGCTCACCTGAGGTCTTCCGGTGACTTGTCCTGCGAAAACCAGCTAACATTAACGACTTTCTCGTACTCTTCAAGGCTGTTGATAGCCATGGGCATGTAGTCGTCGGTAGAGACAATCTTCCTCCATTAGCAGAGCTCCCACTTCTGTACAAGAAATGAAGAATGTGTACCTCCTGAAAGTCCTCACTGAAGCGACGCTTTAGAAGCTCCGCATACTTGTCGAACAGGGTCAACAGAAATGCATCCAGTGCTGTCACGGAGTAGCCCCAGCCCTACATGCAAGCGTATGTGAGCAGAGCAGAAATAGAGACGTGCGGTCAGCAGAGACAATCCTACCTCCATGGTCTGGATGAAGAGAGCCATGACACCTTTAATTTTCAAAAGAACTTCGGCGTTGCTGACTTCGTCTAGTGCTGTCGATGTCAACCCAATCGCAGTATGGCACATAGAATCCCAAAGCTCGTCGACCTGGAGGGGGCGTTAGCATCCGCGCAAGCAGGCGCCTTGTGGTTTGTCTTACATCAGCGATTGATCGCAAATTAGGTGTTCTTCGCATGGTCGCCTTCTCGACTATGGCAAACCCCGCAACTCCTTCGAGTAAGCTGCTTAGTGAGTTCTCGTCTTCGGCTGTCAGTCCTACAGTACCTGGCAGCAACAAGTCCTTTTGCTGCCGCCGTGTGGCAGAATATTCAGCGCGGAATCTATCCCTCTGTCCAAGTGCGTCGTGAATATGCAGGCATTCGAAAAGAGGGGTGAAGTCAACTTGAAGCTCCTCGTTATCCAACTCGTCAAACTCCTCACTTTCGTCATACGCCAGCTCAATGGATGAGTTGAGTTTGAATCGATTCAAATAAGAGTCGCTTTCGATTCTCTCTCGCTGCCTGGCCCGTCGAAGTTCCGTATGATAGAAGGCCACTTCGCCGAGAAATTGAGACGTCTCACGAATACGGAATAGCCAGGTGTTGAGGTCCGTCATGACGGCTTCAGATATCGACTTCTGCGACTGTGGGATGGATTTTTGAATGACATCAGCCAACTTGTGCTGCGTGGCGTATTTATTTTGTATGATTGGCACAAGGTGCTCGTTCTGCAAGTCCTCTAGGGATTTCAGGGCTGCATAGTATTTCTTCTTGCGAATCAGCTCGTGTGCATTATTCACGGCATAAAGTATCCTCAAAGAGTCCTGTAACGCGTTGGAGGCATCGGCGATGTTTTGTCGGACAGCTCTCGTATTGACAAGTCCCCGTTTTTGGTCTGCCAACTTCTCTGTGCTTGACTGGATGGACTCGTTGAGCTCAAGAATTTCTGCAGTCAAAGTCACAGTCCCTTCGCGAATCTGCTGCAGCTGAGTGACTGAGCCAAGAAACTCCTCGTGCTTGGTGAGACCGATTCTTTCAATATCTGCTTCTCTGCCTTCGGAGTATTGTGAGAGTGTTTGCAATAGTGCAGGGGTGCGGCCTGAGCTGGATGCGTCCTTCAACACAGGAATGAGTTGATCCAAGAAGTCGGCATTGGAAGAGAGGACGATGATCTGAGACGAACGAGAATGGTGAGCTATGGTCTGCGTTGAAAGCTCCGACGGAGATGATCTGCATGACCGGCTTAGTTGGCTCACCTCTTGAACTGCGATGCCGTAGTCATCGTAGTTCTGGACACGCCGAGGCATGTTGGAGTGCACCAATGTCGCGATGCCGTTCGGTTTGGTACAGCTACCTGCACATCTCAGCAATAACTTCGAGTTGGCACAGTCGAGGCGTTCAATGGTTGAACTCGTGCTTGAATTGCATGGACGATGGGGGTGCGACTTCTGAATCAAGATGCCTCAGTATGGTACCTGCGAAGGTAATCAACTAGCATGCGCATGCGGCGACAGTACACGAAGCGCCCACCCCACCTATCCTGGTTACCACCCGCATGATGCTTACTGGAGTCGCGAAGTGTTCGGTGCACTACCTCCATCGGTCAACCTTGGATGGCACGGAGGCAGTTGCCTTTTGCT